CACCAGCTTTCCAGTGATTCAGTGATGTTCTACAGTGCCTCTGAACATAGTTAAGGTTTGTGGACTTCACAAGAGAAAGGTAAGATGAGGGTGAAGCATAAATTTAGTGTAACATTTCTCCCAGAGAAATGTGATTTAATGTGGAGTTCACTGTGATTATAATCAAATCTACAAGAGGAAGTACACTGTTCTGAACTAGATGCAGCACTGTGCAGAACAACCTTGAAAAAGCCTAGAGAGCTTTAATACATTTCTAAAGTGGATGGCAGCACATATTTACATGCACACACAGTTCATACTTTTACATGAATGGTGTTAAATGCACTATATAATGACGATTAAGACTTTCTCAGCACAGCTGTCAAAGACATGAAATATTCAATCATCAGCTTTCTCACTCTAGCATCAGATCGCCAACATAAGTCCTCCATATCAAGACCATATACTGCATTTCAACATCTCCCTGGTGTTTCACAGCTGTGCCTTTCATCTTGTTACTGACTGAATGTTGGACTCACTTCCGGCTAAATAAAAATGTGTCTCTCCTACCTCTTAGATGATGTGCTGGAATGTAGCAGTGGCTACATTTAAAAGGAATTATAGCTGAACCCTGCAGGCCTGGCAAAAATATCAGCATTTCTACAGTTCTGCAGCTGTCTCTGAGCCAGCTACAGTCCCTTCAGAAACCCCACCCACCCAGAAGAACAAGAAAAAGTGCGCAAAATGGTCTTCCAAAAAACGAAATAAGTGTCGAAATTAGATTGCTTGGAATGTAACAACTCTATTTGCGACCACCGCTTCAGCTGATTTAAATCGAATGAATTGGAACTAAACGGAACTGAGAGTTCTGACTGGCTTCTAACATTAGGCCCTGACACACACAACCTTTGAACAATGCCGCTTCCTTCTGCTTTCAGAGCAAAATCAAAAGAAAGACTGGGTGTACCAGACCTCGCCGATGAAGAGCACTGAAATCATTGTCCTTCTATTCATTTTATCACTTCAGCAGTAGCCTGGGTTTGTGGCGACTACTTAATTAAAAACAAAAAACAGAGGCTTGTACCAAGCTTCATAGATGTTACATAAAACACAGTATTTTTTATAATGATTTGCAAGTCAATAGCAGTTTAATCCATCAGAATTTTGCTTTTGCACGAGGAAATGGCTGTTGAAAATCTTGCACAAGCTTGATTGGGTTACGATAATGAACGAAAGGGTAACCGCAGTCTTCATTTCATTCGTTTCACCCAGTCAAATCAATAGCAGAGGAACAATCAATCTTCGAAACAAGCAACTCAGTAAACTCAATTCCTTCTCAAAGCAAACATGTTCAAACCTTTTGTCTTCACGAAAAATACAACCTCCCAGGAGATTATTGTAAAAAGACAAGGCCAAGAAAATAAACTTGAATGATAGCAGGTTGATTTGAAAAGCAATTTTGAAGCAGGTTTAAAGATGACATGCTTGTTTTCACTTTGTTCTACGCAAGTACCATATTTTCCAGAAAATAATTTGCACAGGGTCAAAATTGCATTGTTGAGAGAAAAAAAAATAGATACAAGTGTACAAGTCACATTTTACTATTATATTCAGCAGTAAACTGAATAAAACATATTTAAACACTATAAATATGTATTTTAGTTCCCCATACTCCAAAACAAATTCTATGGTATTCAGAACAGAACAGGATTGCAAAATAAAAAGTCTGCGGTTTTCCCGCGGAATTGGGCTACTTTAACACTTGCCGCGTTTTGTAGTTTTGGGCTAGTTTTGAGTAGCAATTAGGCGGGTTTTGTTGTGAAACCTGTCACTAAATTAGTGAACTAAATTCAATAATTTAGTGAAATTAGACAAACTTGGGGGGGCGCATGTCCTAAAAGGTTGAAAACCCCTGCACTATAGTATAGTAATTTCTCTTCTTTTGCATTTGGGTGCAGTCCCATTCCCAGGTTGGTTACCCTAATCTTTTTATTCTCCACGTTAAACTAGCATCTGCTAGGGGATGGGGTTCCCCCCCTTACCCTTTCTCCCACGGGCCATCTGCTTCCTAACCCACACAAACACACTTAGACTCAGTCCAGCTAAAACCATCTGCATTTTTAATGAGGTTTGCCACTGAGAAGGACAGCTTGTGGGTCTACAGTGGCCGGTGGCAGGACCCTCTGGCTGCACGGGAGTGAACTCATCTCTCTAGCCTTGCCAGAAAACACTAGGTCTACAGACGAGGATCAGCAACACCCTTTGTAATTGCCCTGCGCTGTGGGCCTCTTTAAAGCTCAGTGACACCACGAGAAAGGAGGAGGAGGAATAAGAAACTGAAATACGGTCGATTAAGTAGAGAAAAAAAATGTACGCATAGGTGACCCGCATTTTTCAGCTGAAATAACCAATAATGATGTTTCTCCAGTCATGTAGCTGATACTACAAGCTAATGGGCCTTATGCTCTGTGATTTATTACCGCAAAGTGAAAGAAATCCTTTTATTTCTCAGCCATTTTCACATCTTAAAATGTCTGAGTGCCTTGTCTGATCTGTGCCTGTGGTAAAAACAACCAAGACAAACCCGAATGCTGAATTTGCAGATGGCACTGGTTAAATCAGTGACATTGGTTTGGTTGTAAATGTTGCTGTCATTACCAACCCTGTACACATCAACATCAACGTCAGGTGCACCCTGAAGCGTAAGCAGCCTTATGAATATGTAAATATTCACAGTGAGATAAACAGGTAGCGAGGAAGGGACTAATGGCAGAGCGAGAAGAGGCTACTGAAAGCAAAATTAACAATGTGAATTTTTAATCTTAACGTTCTCTCTGATGATAACAACAACAACATAAAAAAGCAATTTTTGAGAGTTCAAAATATTTTTTTTGTATTGCAAAAATGCAAAAATATTTTAAAGAGACTGTACACTCTAAAGGGATTTTTCATCCAAAAATGAAAATCCTGTCATCATTTACGCAGACCGTTTGACTATTCACAAGACAGACGTTTCACAAGACAAATTCTTTTTGTGTTTTTGTCAACATGAGGGTGAGTAAATGATTTCAGATTTTTCATTTTTGTGTGAACATTTAAAGAATGTTTTGTCAAGCAACCTAAATTCTAAACAACTAGTTTTACTCTTAAGGTCAATAATATTATTTAAGCCACTTCTAATGACTATTTCTCTTTCAAGTCTGGTACAACATTTCCTTAAAGCAACAATGCTACATTTCCTGTCTTTACAGAATACTGAGAACCAGAAAGCAGCAGGTTTGCGGAAGATTTCGACTATTAATCGAGCAGTTATGTGCTAACAGACTCCAATAGAAGGAATCACATCACGCCTGTCTTGCGTTCATTGCACTGGTTACCGATTAATTATCGCATCCAATTCAAAATTCTGCTATTCGTGTACAAAGCTCTAAACAACCTTGCTCCTCCATATCTCTCTGAGTTGATTATAGTACACAATCCAGCTAGATCACTCAGATCACAGACTAAGCATCGGCTTTTGGTTCCCAGAGCTAGATTGAAATGCAGGGGTGACAGAGCCTTTGCTGTTGCTGGCCCCAAGCTATGGAACAATTTGCCATTATCCATCAGAATAGCTTCTTCAGTGTCTGAGTTTAAAAGTCTTTTAAAAACGTATCTTTTTTCCCATGCTTTCAATGTTTTGTGACTGTGGTTTTCTAATGACGTGTTTACTCTATTGTGTGATTGGATCAATGTAACTGTGTACAGCACTTTGGTATACTAAGGTTGTTTTAAAATGCTTTATAAATAAATTGAACATTGAACATTGAATAGAACCTTTGTGCTTCTGCACTGCAACTCCAGTCTCCCCGAGACTGCAAGATGAGTTAGTTACACAGTGCATGGAAAGATACATGCATAAGAGTGAATCACAAATCAGTTATGCACTCCTTACCGGCGTAATGAGCGAGGAGTAAGGCTTGATCCTGATTAACAGGAAATGAAGGAAAGGAAAGCAAAGCCCTGGTTTCTCTATTGCTATTTCGCCTTTTCTCTCTATTCGACATGCTGCCATGCCTCCTAATTCATGGGTGAAGGAGAAGGCGCTGAGATCATCTTCATGTCCTAACCTAAGGGCATGATGAAGGGCTCTACTCTGACTTGATTCATTAGGACTCTATGTAGCCTCTCGCTCTGCTGTGCACTTATGTGTGCACAAGTGAAACTGACTGGCCTCCAGTGAAGGACGGCCAATGATGAATGTAGAGCACAGGAGGAATTCGCACTCAGTGTTTGCGTGATATGAAAATGGGACAAAAAGTTGCATGAACACAAGTGAGGGCAACCAAATGAGAAGATCTGAGAGAGCTAGCTCTTAAAAATAAAGGTGCTTCACGATTCCACAGAATAACCTTTTTGTCTAAATGGTTCCATAAAGAACCTTTAACATCTGAAGAACCGTTCTGTTTCACAAAAGGTTCTTTGTGGCGAAAAGAAGGTTCTTCAGATTATAAAAAGGTAAGAAAGAGATGACTGAATGCTTCTTCGTGGAACCAAAAATGGTTCTTCTATAGCATCACTGTGAAGAACCTTTTAAGCACCTTTATTTTTAAGAGTGTACTGAGATCCCAATATAAAACACATGGTGAACAAAACAAATACAAAGCGATTCCATACAAATGTCAGGAATAAATTGTCACCAATTAAAGAAACGTGTATGTGTTTGGTTAGCCTACACTTTATTTTAAGGTGTGCTTGGTACGGTGTAGTTATACTTGTGAGTAATATCAATTAACTATATGTACTTACTATATGGTTAGGGTTACTTGCATGATATTATGCATAATTTATTGTTGTTATTATAATAGTAAGCACATAAAATAACATAAAATAAAGTGTTACCATGTGTTTTATATCTGGCGCTTCAAAAAGGAGAAATAAGGCTGATGCTTCAAATGTGAAGCACTTTTCAAGCTATTAAATGGCATTCTGAAACAAAACGAGTGCTAAGGGCATAAGAAGCCTCAGGCTAAAGAACTCACTTTGTCACGGCTCTCCGCGCGGTGATGCTGGCGACGATGATGCTCTCGGGTCTCGGCATCGCCACGGCTTTGAACGTGCCCTGCCAGAACTTCTCAAAAAGCAGCTTCTCTCCCTGAAGTGCACCTGCCATGGCGTCACGATGTTTTAGGGGTGAATACCGAGAAAAACCGAGTCGGTTTTGTGCCGTAGTTTCGATGAATCCTCACACGGTCGATTTGTGTAGGCGGCTGAACGAGGGAGCTGTCCAAGTTCTGAAACCAGCGGAATGTTTGAGGCAGCGATCAGCTCCTTTTCCCGGTGTTTGTGCTTGTCTTGCGTGAAGAGTCCGTTTTAAGTTCTCTTCAGAGTCCGTTTTTACGTTTCCCCCATCAGTTCCATGAAGACGGCGGCCAGCTTCTATTAATTGCCTCTGCGTCCCTTTTCGCGCATCCCGCCTTCAAGTCAGTTTAAGAGTCGGAAGCCACTAGCTGAATCGCTTTTTCACAATATGCATTGAACTCCCGGCAGTTAGAAATTACATACACGAGCGTGCATAAGTCCAGTGCCAGCGTATGTGGACGGAAGAGTTCTGACAACCTCAGCTCGCTCGCGTCGCGATGTGAGAAACTCAGCCGATGCTGGCTCGTTTTTGTTGCGCGCACCTTGTGACGTTAAAGAAGAGAAGACTATAGGTCACAGGGAGCGTGACCATCCCTCCGTGCTCGTTCTCTTTCTCTCTCGCGTCCTCTGACTTGAACAAAAGACGGTGCCTGTTGCCTTAATCAGCATAACAAAAGAGGCAGGGGTCGGCGCAGAGGCAGCAGACGGAGCATGTGTCAGGCACAATACTTCCGAGGCAAAGCATTTCCCCCATCAGCCCTCGAGGCCCCACAGTAAACCACCCTCCCTCTCCCAAACACCACCTGTCACTGAAACCCCACCTGCAGCTGCAGAGTGCACAGGTGATAGTACTACAAACAAAAGCAACAAGCCTCCTCATTTAGTGCCTTTGTATCTATGTACACTCTTCGTATGCAAGTCATTCTTTCAGTTTGAAAGGCATCGCTGAGTCAAAAGTATGGACACATAGGTTCATTCTTTAGAATTACTATTGTTCACATTTTAGAATAATTGTCAAAGGTCATTAAAGCGATAAAATGTTAAAACTTTGCATTGGTCAGTTATTACAAAATAAAAAGATATATCTTTGTTTGGCAACACTTTGCAATAAGGTTCATTGGTTAACTACATTAGTTACCATGAACCACGAATTAACAATACTTCTACAGCATTTATTAGTCTTAGTTAATGTTAGTTTCAGCATTTATTAATGCATTATTAAAATCACAAGTTGTGTTTGTTAACATTAGTTAATGCACTGTGTGCTAACATGAGCAAACAGTGAACTACTTGATTTTTTTTAACAAAAATTAATAAATAGTGTAATAAATGTATTGTTCATTAACTAATGTTAACAAATAACACCTTTGTAAAGTGTTCACCTTTGTTTTAGCTTATTAAAAGCTTCTAAGCATTTCCATTGAATAATTAAGTCCTCCCTGCTATCACGTCCATTACTACAGAAGCCTGGCTCTATTCCTGTCACCACATGAAACAGAATTGTGGGTAACTGCTCAATCCTGTCAGCTTTTGTTTAATTCCAGTAGTCAACATGTCAAGAGATGGGATGCTCCGTACACAGCATAAGGACGGGGGAAAAGGCTACATAAATCACTGACAGAAATAAACTAGCATGCAACATCATTCTAGATACAAACTGCCAGGGCAAGATGTTGATTCATATTTAATTTCCTTTGAGTGCATTCCTGCATGAAATACCATCGAAATGCAAATTCATTTTGATAACTTTATATTGATGACTGAGAGAATGGACTGACATCATGTGATTTCATCTCTGGGGGAAAAATTTTTTTTGTTACTCATTACTAATTGCATGTTGTAAAAAAGCATATTGTTAGTAAGTAGTATTGGCAATTTTAAAATGTACTGTTGTAGTTACACTTATGTTCTTCTTAGTTTTCATGGACTTTTGTTGTGTTTTCATTCCTCGTGTTGTTTGGCAACACTTTGCAATAAGGTTCATTGGTTAACTACATTAGTTACCATGAACCACGAATTAACAATACTTCTACAGCATTTATTAGTCTTAGTTAATGTTAGTTTCAGCATTTATTAATGCATTATTAAAATCACAAGTTGTGTTTGTTAACATTAGTTAATGCACTGTGTGCTAACATGAGCAAACAGTGAACTACTTGATTTTTTTTAACAAAAATTAATAAATAGTGTAATAAATGTATTGTTCATTAACTAATGTTAACAAATAACACCTTTGTAAAGTGTTCACCTTTGTTTTAGCTTATTAAAAGCTTCTAAGCATTTCCATTGAATAATTAAGATCCTGAGAACTATACAATCATGTGACTGTGAAATAATCAACTTATAAAACACTAAAATATGAGTAACATTTTATGATATCCTTCATTAATAACAAAACAACCATAACTTAACCCTTAAATCCCGGTGGTATCCTGGGGAATATACAGACGTTTGGTCAAATTTACATTGTAAAGCAACTACTTTAGTGACATATAAAAGTCTAGATTAAATTTACCATTTTGATCCAAAAGTAACATGGCTGCATGCCGTGAGAAGACTCATGGAAAATGGTGCTTTTTTTATTTTCATAGGAGATACAAACTGTAGATTTAATAAAATTGCAAATGGTTAGGATGAAGCCTTTTTGCATTTACTGTATATAATGTACCTGTTAAAATGTATCTGTTATGTATCTGCATTTGTATATTTTATACTTGTTAATGACTTAATGATAGCAAACATAAAGTGTTACAAAAGTATCAGTTTGACACATTTGGCAAATTTATCAAAATGTGATAATAGATGACATGAAGGTGTTAGTGAAGGTATAGAAGAATGAAAAAGTAGTATGCTGAAAGGAATATGATGAATTTGCCACCCAAGTGAAGCAGCTGAGCTTTCATCATAAGCATGCATAATAAGTGTGAAGACACAGGCTGGTATGATAGCTGCCATTCATTAGTTCTGCTTATTTTAACAGCTAACATGAAACTCCATGTGCAATGCCACCATCCACTCGATTATAAAGGAGAACCACATTGTAGTGATATGAATGAGGATTAAGCCTTGGCACGCTTCAGTTGAACCAAATTCGAAGATTAGTTCATCTTAACATCCCATATGTTATGTTTATACAGCTTTTCTTTAACATGACTATGTGCAGATATCAAAAGCATTTTTTTTCTCTATGTATCAAATTACAAGTTTTTTGTTCTTTGCATTAGCTAATTTCTGAATAAAACATGAAAAAAATCTATTTATAAAATTATTTTTTAATAATTATTTCCCTACTTTTTAAACACCCAATGACCATCTTATGAGCCCCTTCCCTATGTAAGAAACAAACACAAAATGCTAGAGTGCAAAAGCTTTAAAAGAGATGTGGAGTCCAATTTTCTTTTACTGTAGTTCAATACAAAACTTTAATCCACACTTAATCCACTTTTTGGTTATTTGATTTTGGAACTGGCAGGTACTTGCATGGAAATTTAAATCATATAACCTTCAAATCATCCTGCATGTAGAATTTTTTTTTAAACATATACAGTATTTAACACACAAGAAATTGTACCATGGCAAAAGGTAATGTAATGCAGTGTTTATTAGTTACCTAAAACCAGGAACCGTTGCTTGAAATAAATTTTTTTTTAATATATATAAATTTTTAAAAAATTGCATTTCCCGTAGTTTCCAAGGCATAATTTCTCATTTTTATTCTGTTTAACTTCATATATATATATATATATATATATATATATATATATTTATTTATTTATTTATTTTATTTTTTTTATGAAATTATTCATGACATCTCCTCATATTTTGCATTCTCATATTAAAAGGCATTGAGTTTTGGCTGTCATAGCATCTCTTTTTCCTCCCTGCTATCACGTCCATTACTACAGAAGCCTGGCTCTATTCCTGTCACCACATGAAACAGAATTGTGGGTAACTGCTCAATCCTGTCAGCTTTTGTTTAATTCCAGTAGTCAACATGTCAAGAGATGGGATGCTCCGTACACAGCATAAGGACGGGGGAAAAGGCTACATAAATCACTGACAGAAATAAACTAGCATGCAACATCATTCTAGATACAAACTGCCAGGGCAAGATGTTGATTCATATTTAATTTCCTTTGAGTGCATTCCTGCATGAAATACCATCGAAATGCAAATTCATTTTGATAACTTTATATTGATGACTGAGAGAATGGACTGACATCATGTGATTTCATCTCTGGGGGAAAAAAATTTTTTGTTACTCATTACTAATTGCATGTTGTAAAAAGGCATATTGTTAGTAAGTAGTATTGGCAATTTTAAAATGTACTGTAGGTGTTACACTTATGTTCTTCTTAGTTTTCATGGACTTTTGTTGTGTTTTCATTCCTCGTGTTCTGTGGCCTAACCCTGCATCCCAATGTGCATACTATCCACTCTATCTGCCCTTTTTTTTTGTTACTCATTACTAATTGCATGTTGTAAAAAAGCATATTGTTAGTAAGTAGTATTGGCAATTTTAAAATGTACTGTTGTAGGTGTTACACTTATGTTCTTCTTAGTTTTCATGGACTTTTGTTGTGTTTTCATTCCTCGTGTACTGTGGCCTAACCCTGCATCCCAATGTGCATACTATCCACTCTATCTGCCCTAAATAGTATTGAAAATTACTAATATCACATAGAATTTAGGATGGATAGTATGTACATTGGGACGCAGGCCTAGTTTTCCCTCGTGTTTGATGGTATCATTATGTTCAGGTGTGTCTTGTCAATTATCCTCATTTGCCCTCCTATTTAAATTGTAGTCAGTTCACTGTTTCTTTGTCTGGTATTGTTGTTGTTTTGCTGCGTGTTCCCTTTGCATTTATGGATTATCATCTGCTTGGATTCTAATTAAACTCTTGTGTGTATTACCTTCACCATCGTGTGCCTTCCCTCTACACGTGACAGTAGGTTTGTTGGAATGGAATGGAAAGAAAATATCTCACTAATTCTTGCCTTCACACAGACATTCACATTTCAATATGCAAATGCAAAATACCATACACTCCAAAATAGCATAACT